AAGAAGGGAAATGCTTTGACCGCACATAACTTGGGACTAAAGCTTACGATGCTTCATTCGCGAAATCCACAGTTCCTCTCACGAACACCATCGCGACCCTTTGCGGAAGGCCTCCTCAGCTAGCCGTGGTCGTTTCATATGAACACTTCCACACGGGGTTTCGGACAACCCGCATGTGGGAGTATCCGGAAATTAGGGGCCCTTTCGGGGGTCTGCTGTCACGCACCTTTCGTGAAAAAATGCAATCCCGTACCGTCTTCTTTCTCGCAACTTTCGCGAGTCCTTCAAACTGCCAGAAGACACGGACCTTTAGAACAACGCTCATTTGACGCAACGGCTTCAGCGGACGGCTCCTTGTGTGTCATGCCATCTATTAAGTTGCGTCCCGCACGATTCTCTGGATTCCTTGAAGCTTCAGCGCACATTTTCATGACCTCGCCTTCCTGGTAAGTTGTTGGCGAGATCTTGACTTCCGTGTACGTTTCAATACGTTTCATGTATGGCCACCCCCTTTCGTACGCGAAGCCTGACCTATCCTGACCTGCAACGCACACCAGGACCGTCCACTAGGGTCATCACAATGACGTTCTCGCCGCCAAGCCCGTTCAGAAGCACTCAGATTGAGAGGAGCATTCTTTTCAGCAATCATTTCGACTACCAGCTTCTCATACCTTCTGGCAGGGGGTGCTTCATATTGCTCCATGCAACGCTTCTAAATTTAAGATACTTAAGCCTTCAGGAGGTCCAAAGTGCTCCCGACAGCCTTCATTGTTAGGCCCGCAGGCCTAAAGCACCTAAAGTGAGCATGACATTTCAGATCGCGAGCTCACTCCTCTTCGGTTGTATGTCCGATGTGTGTACATGTTTATGCTGCATGTGACGCTGTTCGTCCACTCCCAGCCGTCGGGTGAAGATGCCGATGACAGCTGGCGGCCCTGTACTTCTCGGTCATTTCACCAATTTCGTACATGTAGTCATTGCATGTGGGCGGCTGTGAATATTCCTTCTTCCAGGAAGCGCGAATGCTGCAAAAATATGCAAAAATCATGGTGCCGCCTTCTGACGAAAAGGAAAGCGAGGTCTGGAATGATGGCTTTGGCATATAAAAAAGAGTAGTACTGACTCTTGTACCCTATGTACTAACCTCACAAAACACACTAGCGCCTTGATTTCAGGGCTCGCACGTCGTCTCCAGGCGCTCTGTTCGTCCATTCTCCATCGGTTCCGCCCAAGGGTGTGTAGACTGAAGTGTATCTTCAATGTCTGACCACCCAAGTAATGGGTGAGGGCGGGCTCAACGGGCCGTATGGGAATGTAGGGTACAGGAGTTTGCTGAGGATAGCCCCCGCCAGCTCTTCCATGCCGGCCCTGATTGGAATCAGATGTCTTAGTACTGCTTTGTGTCTTAGATGGCAAAGTGGTCACCGCGAAATTTCCCTCTGTATTTGCTATCGCCATGCTTGCGCCAAGCTAGCGCATATTTCGTCTCATGACTTAGATGTTTGGGCACGCTGGCAGTATGCATCTGGAGCAAACACTGCAACGCATCTGGACATGTCACTCAATTGTCACTCTGTGGGACTCGAAAAGGTTTCAAATCGGTCCTACAGGTGGGGATTTCCTCCTTTCGCCAAGCCATGCCCTTGACGCCAGTTACCTTACCCTACAAGCCGAAAGGCTTTTACGCACGCAAGCAGCCTCAGCTCATACCATGTCATCTTTGGAGACCGCTACCATAGGCCTTGCGATCAAAGGAATACCTAGCGCCACGCTAGCGCTATCCTAGCGCCTACATGGGGGAGAGACCGAAACTTGCGTATACACATGGTGCCGCCTTGTAGCGAAGACTAAACCGGCAGGAGCAGAACCTCATATCGCACTTCTATCATATTTTACATACATGGTATTTTGACGTCCGCCCGTGTGAGCCTTTTCGTCCTGCGTGTTGTCATTCCTGCCAGCCGTATCTCCCAAGGCTCACGCCACAGGCGCACAAAGCGCATGACGTGCTTCACATGGACGTAGGTTTTGGGAGTAAAGAATCATAATCTTCGTTCCTGTCACCTCCAACTGGCATGGAGCCCATTTTATTCATGTGTTCGTTCCGGCCATCCCTCCCAAAGGTTGCAAGCTGGCTTTTATTTGTTCCTTCCCTCTTTTCTTTCTTCTTTACTTGCTGATTTCCTCGTTTATTTCTTTCATCTTCTTCTTCTGATTCTTCTGCATGCACGCCGGGGCTCAGCCCCGTGGCACGAAACCCCTCCACAGATGAAGCTGAAATTTTCCGCAACCTGCAAAGGACCAATGTGGTATGTATTATACCCCCAGCATCTTCTTCTACCCGCTCCCCATATCCGTCCTTCTTTTTACCTGATTGTCAAAGCACTGACGTGGAAATGAGCCTCTGGCCGAGGAAGAGTTAGCCCTACCCGCGCCGACAATCATCATACCTCCATAGCCAAACCGTCTGCTCCACAGTAGGCTTTAATCACATGCAAAGCAGGATTGCAGGGCCCCCGCATCTCAAAGCCTTGCAACTACGCGTGAAACACCTTGATTCATGCTTTCCCAAATACACTTGTACATGATGTTGCGAATTCCCTGCATCGAGGGGCGGGTTTGACTCCGAGGCAAGAGTGACTCCCCTCCCAAACAAACACACATCGGTCTCTCTTGTTTTCCTTCTTCCTTGCTTTCTGATGTCTGTCTTCCTTTCTTTCCTTCTTCTTTGCTTTTGTATTTCTTGCTTCCCGTACTTCTTTTGTTTGTAGCATGTCTGGCTTACAAGGAACTAGCCATGCTGCAATTAGGAGCTTCTTTTGGAGTTGTCCCTGTAAGCTACAGAATTTCCAGCGTCCAGGAGATGCGAGCGTTATGTTTCCTACCACAAAACTCATTCTGTATGTATATATATATACAAATTATACGCAAATACATACCTGCTTGTTGCATCTCTGTTTTAAGTTTGTTTATCTTTGCTAGACACCTCCATATTCACTATATTCACTCACCAAACGATTGCGCCATACCGTCGCGACGTGCGTCTGTCTTTTGGGTGACGATTTTCAGACACAGGTGCACTCGCATATGCAGTTACTGCAATGACATACCGCCTGCGAAGTGGCTTCAGGACGATTGGGAAGCCTTAGCAAAACCAGAGCGCAAAGTGTGATAGTAACGAACTCTGCTGGTGATACAGGTGTCTCTTGTGCTGGATGCTTGCGCAAGCAGCAAGAGGTGACCCAGCGATAGCTTGTGTATCCGAACGTTGACCTAAGTTGCCAAAGGCGGTGTGTCCAATCCATAATTGTGCCCATCACAGCACGTTACAAATGGGTACCAGGCTCCGCGTGTTGCGACAACGACATAGAACTGAAGCATTTTCCTCTGCGAGATTTCTTGTGCATTCCCTAACGCATGTGCACCCCTGCGTGAGTACCCAAGAGCCTGCCTCGGCACCGAAGAATCGGGTCTCAGCGCCACAAACCGTGGAGCTGAGATACTGCTTTTGGACAGCTCCTTCACGCATGCAAGCCCGCAAGCCCGCCTGCGTTTTCATGCTAATTGAGCCACGGTGAATATTACACAAGGTTTAAAAGATATGATATGCTTTAGTGCGATCTGGCTGCAACTATAATGCTGCAAATGAAAAAACTGCGTGCTGCAATGAAAGCTGCTCTGGCGCAAGTTGCCGAGGGAAGTTGTTAGAGTCGCAGCTACAATTGACAATTGAACAATCAGCGATGCCACTCGAAAAGTCTGACCGCTTGATAGATCCGCTACAGCCTTGCAAACGATATCCTCTGCAAGGCGAGCATAGGGATCTTCTGGCATGTGCTGAATCACCTCAGTCGGCGGGCTGGTCGTAACATCCAACGATTTGAATCGATTTAGTTTCATTGCTTTTCCCGACGGTTGCGAATTGCCACTCCTTCTGCATGCTGCTGCTAGTTGAACTCGTTGCTGCAGCGACAGCTCCAGTGTGACGCAAGGGGTATCCTTGCCCTACACATGGAGTGGTGTCGAAGTCAGGTGTGCAGAAGGCTCAGTGACTACTCAATGCCTATGCCGCCAGCTTTCAGCTTGCAGAGCAAGAGGGTTTTCAAATGCGAACTCATGCGCCGGACATGGTCCTGACAAGAAATTTCCAGGCCCCAGTTCGTCTCTTGCGCAGCGATGCTGAAGTTGACGCAGCAGGCCGCACACGGCAATGTTGCTTTGTTCCAATTTTGACACTTGAGCAAGCCTGTCCTTGGGGCCAGCTTCCGTATCGCAACAAGCTGGAGTTCACAACCATCTTGTTGCCAATTAGTTAGAGTGGCAGTTTTGATGTTGGACAGCGCAAAAATGCGCAAAAGGTTTGCTCCGCGAGACACTGAAAGCCTCAATTTGCAAGGAAAGCGTTGCGAGTTCGGTTCGGCATGTCTTGACCAGAAGGCGGCACTGTGCGCTGCAGAAAAAAAGACAGGGTCAAAGATTATGACATGGTCAACCAGCCACGGAATGGAAATGTAGGCGTAACTGTTTTTCTAATCGTCTTCTGCCCGGAAGAGTAGTAGGAATATGTAATGGTAACAGCAGTACTAACATATATGGATAATGCCAGTGAAACATAGGCTTACCGCTCAGCCTACCCTCGTCTTACTGTCAGTTACAAAACCGGGGAGGGTTGGGATGGTTGGGGGGGCGCAATCCCCCCATTTGCAAGACCTGAACGAGAGAGGGCGCGCAAGCACCAACGACAAAAGAATTTCACGCGCCGACTGACATACGCCAATCTACGACAGAAATAAACCATCTCGACTAAGGTCTTTCTTTGTTGTTGATTTTGTATTGTGGTTGGGGTTTGGACTCCCCCTTCATGAACGAAGATGGGAACATGTAGGCCCTTGGCGAGGATTGACGCAAGTGCGTGCTTGCATTTTTCCTTCTGTCATTTGAGCCGAGGCTTTTATTCACACATGGTTTCATGAGCATAACAACCACCTTCCGCGACTGCCTTCCCTGCATCTTCCGTAAGTCTTGGCTGCAGTCGCTTTTGCTTTCGAATTCCGCGGCTTCCTTCCGTGAAGCCTTTTCGGTAGATTTTCGGGACCTCGCTTCGGCGAGTCTTCCGCGAAGTCTACCGCTCAGGCTCGCGCGTGCGCTACTTTCGATTGACTTCGTTTGGACGGTTAAAACAAATGAGAAAATCACGTTGGACTACGCTTGGACCGCTAGGATTGTATAACGAGTAAGATTCGAGGGGTAGTGTAAGACTGTAAAGGAATATAATAGAATTCTCATAGGCTGTTGGGACTATATGCATTGAACATGAAAAACGGGTTCCAGGGTCAAAGTCTACCAATGCGTTTTGCAGAATTTTGCAAGGTTCCTTCATGTCATATGAGCTATTCGACTAGAAATGGCTTCCCATATCAACAACAAAGCGGTGCTGAAAACCTTAATCCTATTGTATTTCGGAAACAAAAATGCTTACGGTAGCTTACGTTTCCCAAGCTTTTGCTTACGACATGACTTTGTTGTTGTTCCTGCTTATGCCAGCTTGCTGCAGCTGCTGCAACTGCAAGGACAAACAACACCAACGAAAACAACAGCTTACGCACTTACGGCAACAAGTCTGCCACAGAATTGCTTACGACACCTGACGAAACACAACGCTTTGCTTACGCCAAACCTTGTTTCTGAAAGCCCTTGTCCTTTCTAGATAAGGAGGGTTTTGATCTCCGCTCAACAGGATTTAAAGTATCCAAACCAGTCAACGTTCTTAGAATTTTATAAGTGAACTGGCTTTGAATATTTAACTAGCCAAAGTAGTTGGACAGATGAACTCGATTAGAGGGAAATCCTGGCTGGAAGGGTAACTTTTCATGTTAATACCCTATAGCCTATAGCTGGCCTTTGTTGCTCATCAGTGTTGGCTACCTGAAGCTGGGAAAACCTGGGATATCCATTCACATCGCAATTGCGCGGTGTCTGGCATTCTGCAAAAGAACTGCGATTACGAAGAGGAGCTGGAGCTGGAACTGGAGCTACAGGAGTAGTCAGAAGATTCACCAAGGTCGTCTTTGAAGGCGGATGACTTGGTGTTGCACGCAAGGGGTTACAGAGTGTTTCAAGTAATTGTGTCCCGCGACATTCTAATGCCCTGTACTTCAGCAAGCCGCAATGTCTGCATGCACAAGCCAAGCATGTGCAGTGGGGCACTAAGCGGTTGCTATCGCATTGCCGATTGTCGCTGCTGTCCCGCCCCCAAGCTGAATGCATCACAGCGACACTGTTCAAGGCCGAGGTGACAACTTTCTCGAGCTTGTGCTCCGAGATGTACTCTCGCACCTCCAAGCTAGATTAGCAAGGCTTGAGCAAACCGCTCCCGCTATGCACTTTTGGGCAAAAACTATGGGCGGATTGTGAGTAGTTGTTGCAAGTTTGGCCCTTTAGCAATGACATCTCCCTAAAACCCATGACGTGTCGACAGTTGCTAATCTGCTTTGTGGCCAGAGGCACCGCATCGGGGAGCAGGACGTCATTGCGAATTCCAGAAGCAGCTTTCACTGCCATGGATGTCAGAAACAATGACAGAAGCAAGCACACTGCTTGAATCGAAGCTAGTGCAACTGTATGCTGCAAAAAGCTGGCGTCTTTACATCTTGTGAATTGAGGGCATGGTGCAACATGGCATTCGGGGATTGCCGGGCGTGTGAGCGCTCATGTGAATAAATGTGGAGATAAGCCATGTCGCTGATGCTAGATTCCTCAGATCCCTGCATATCCCTGCAAGGCTGCGGTCAGCATTGGATAAAATCCAGGCAGTACTAAGGGACTGCACGTGCTGGCATCTCGCACTGCCCATCAGTCAGCAACTGCAAAGATATGCAAAGATTTCCTTCGGTCTTTTGCTGACGGGCGTCGGAGCTTCGGCGTTCTGGTGCTCGTCCATCAGTTCAAGCCAAGAGGGGCCTGCAGAATCCTCCAAAGTCAAGTCCACGCGAGCTGCAAGAGATGCTCGTCATGTTGAGTTTGCGGCAAGCATTTGCGGATAGAACCCAGTCAACGCTGCGATTAAACTGCCGTGCAGCTGCAGCGCAGCTTGCAGAGCTTGCAGGTCTGCCAGCATGAAAACTAGCTGCCAGTCCTAGCTTGAAGTCTGCCGGTCTGCTGATGTCAAGAAACCGGACTAGGCCACTAGGCTGACCATGTCTTCCAAATGCCGCCTTCACGTGTTGGAGGAAAGACTTTGGTTGTGGTTGCGCTGACTCCAACGGGATGCACGCAAGCAGTAGCCGTGCAATGCCGTGCGGCCGGTCACAGAGCCAATGACTGAGATTGAGGTCGTTCCAGTTATCCCGATCGTCAGTTGCTCTCTGTTCCGGAGCTGCCCTCAGTTGGGTGTGTTGGTGCTACAGTACAGCTGCCAAACAGCTGAGTGTGCGGCAGATGTAAAAGTTGAACGTCTGCGATGACGGTGCTTTTTGACCGAACTGGTCAACGCCGTCCATGTCAAGGTGCGCTCCTTTCAGACTGCAGATTTCCGAATGCCAGAGTGTGCCTGCACAAGATTGTGAGTGTGTTCTATAATGCTCGTAAGATTGGCTTGTTTCGTGACATGCACACTTGAACGTCTGCAAAAAGCTCGTCCCGCATGGCCACGGAGACTGACCTGGCGACTTGGCAACTTGGGGCACTCTCGTGTTGGGCTGTAAAGGTTTAGGACATGGGCAGTGGCAGCCTGATGAAGCGGCAGCCTTTGCAGAAAGATTTCAAAGAATCCTCAGAGATTTGAGGGCATCCTGCCAGGAAATGAGGCAATCTCTTCTTTCAAAGTGGCAGTCACACGGGCCATCCTCGTATGTCCACTGTCTGCGCGTCATGGAGCAGCTCAGCCAGTGCCTTGGGAACAACAACTGGGGCAACTTGTGTTCACAACTATTTGCAACTGTGTCAAAACTATTTCCCTCCAAAATTTGGGTCTGCTGAAATGCATGTGGGGGCAAATTGAAAGACAGCCTAGTATGGGCTAGAGCAGTGGAGCACAGCAGGTGTAGGGGCTGAAGCAGGCGAGAGAAATCAGCCGTGTCAGCAGTCAGGCACGCACTCCTACAGGTATTCAGCACTTCGGCATGGTTGAAAGCAGGGGCATAAGTATGAGTAAGCACACATGCCGTGGAAGCATCCGCAAGCACGCGCAGGCGGACACACCCCAACCACACCCTGCAGCACACCACCCCACTACGGGGCTCGATTTCGACTGAAATGGCGCTCTCGCTACAATGCTGCATACTTGTAAATTACAGCATTTCTGGCATTTCAGTGCTTTGCTAAATCGTAACTTGTGCTCGCCCCACAGGGTTTAGGGCTTCGGGGTTTTAGGTTCTAGTTCTTCAGGTTTCAAAGGTCAGGAGTCAGAGGCGGCCAATTTTTTCGGAGTCTAAGACCTCCTTTTGGAACAAGAGAATGCCATAGTGTCGTGGGAATGCCATAGTGTCGCTGGACAACGCTGTTTGGGAAGCAAACCCCAGCCCAAAAGATGCCCATGAGCCACGCTTGAAATCTCGTCAGACAGAACAAAGGGGGGTTGCAAACCGTGTTTGCTTTGTCCAGCGACACTATGGCATTCCCACGACACTATGGCATTCCCTTGTTCCAAAAGGAGGTCTTAGACCCCGAAAAAATTGGCCGCCTCTGACTCCTGACCTTTGAAACCTGAAGAACTAGAACCTAAAACCCCGAAGCCCTAAACCCTGTGGGGCGAGCACAAGTTACGATTTAGCAAAGCACTGAAATGCTGTAATTTACGATGAGTTTGGCACCCTCGACAAGCCACCCATTGCGGT